AAGCTTAAATACTACCTGGTTTCTCTTATATGAGAAACCTAAAGTATAAAAAGCACAATAAAAGATAGGTAATAGGCAGTAGGTAGATAGATGTTTCTCAGATAGGGAGGGGATCAGAGCTGGGAGGAGTGAGAAGAGAGGGAGGGAAAGAGGATACAAAAGGAATAAAGATGTGCTGCATACAGGTAGCAACTCCACACAAGGAAACATTATATAATGCAAACAAATACTAATAAAAAAGATTAAGTGAATTGAACATCAAGATAATCACTACAATGAGCTGAAATGCATAAAAAATTTATGTCCATGAGTTCATAAAGACTCATTAAACAAACTGTTGGTCACCTCTGGAGGCTGACAGAAAACTGATTCATTATCTGGAAAGCTAAGAACATAAGAGGACGAGCCAAGCATTTGCACTGTCTTTCCTATACAAAGCACACCTCAGGCTGCTAAGCTGGTGGGAGAAACTTTGTCAGCATACAAGTAATCCAACTAATACATAATAAATGATACAATTACAGCATCACTACATTGCACATTTTCATGAAATAGTGTAAGCAATAATAATAGATGTCTGCTAACATCAAAAGCAGAGTGATAACCAAACACTCTATGCTTCATTACGAGAGTAGCCAGAAACACTTATGAAGTATTTTTGCCAAAAAAAAAATCAAACAAGGATATGACCAAAGTTTATAGTCTAATTACCAGTTTATAAAGCATACAGGGAAGAACATATTGAACAACATCACAGAGACACAATGACAGGGAAAAGTCTAGATGGCAAAATACCATAGGACAAACAACTATCTCTTCAACACAAATTATCAGGAAAAAAGAGGGGGAGAAATAAGAACCTATATTGATTTAAAAATTCTTAAGACATGTTGATCTTTTTAACATATAAACTTTATTTGGATACAGATTCAAATAAACTCTAACGATAGTATCAACTGTGGAAATTTAAATAGCAATTGCTTATTTAATATTTAAGAAACTATTAGCCATTTTAGTTGTTATGATAGAATTGCACTTACATTTTAGGAGTCTTTACATTCTTATCAATGAAAACTTTTCATGTTAGATAACTGCAGACTAATGTTCAGCTCAAAGAAACCATATAAAGCTATCCTTAGAAATTTTACCCAACTTCCCCCAGTTTTAACTACCGGACAATTAGTTTCCTATTGCAAAACTATAGGGCTTCATCTCAACTGAGACACCACACAGATGTGGGGAAGATACAGACACTTGTGGGAGGTTCTCCCACACTTCCTTGGACAGCCATAGCCATACCCCTTCCTAGAACCCAGTCCAATTTTGTCATCTCAAACACCTCATCGAAATGGAGCCAGATACTATACAACCTCTTGGCATTGTCATTTTGTACTCAGAACAACTTTCTGCAGGTTCATCCAGGTTGTTAAGTGCCTCTGTGCCTAGATCCTTTTGATTGCTGAATAGTATTCCATGGTGAAAGTGTTTAAACAGCCACCAGTGACAGACACCTGGGTTGTTTCTGCTTGGGGCTATTATAAGCAAAACTGCTGTGAAAATTCACATAAATCTTATTTACTTAAACATTCATGAATAAGGTAAAGTGAAGTCTACAATTTGCTTCAAAAAATAAAATCATCAAAGGTTAGAGTCACAGCTCAATGGCAGATAGTGCACTTAGCATGCTCAAGACTCCGGCCCAGTAGCAAAATAAACAACTAAACAAGTAAGTTAGATGGCCATAAGCCTATAAGTGCATTCTATTATTTCTACTTTGTATATGTTTTAAAAAATTCAAAATAAAGTTTTTAAAAAGAAGAAAATTACCTATCTCACCACCACACATCTGCACATAAGCACACACATCTTCAAGCAAAATTGAGCCGTTTTCCTAACCTTGTGATGTTAGCCCAGGACAAGGTCACAGAGCCCGCACCTTCCAGTGCTTGTTCCTGTAATACTCACTCTACCAATTGGGGCATCTGTTCCCTTTCTCCTGGAGGTTCCTCATGAGGCTCAGGGCTAGGATAATAAGTAGTCCTAAGGTTGGGCAAAGGCAGGTGAGTAATCACCATAATCAAATGCATGAGATGCCTGAGTGGCTTGTCTTCCAAAGAGAGGGTTCACGTCTGCCGTGAGCAGGCCCTCATCATCTAGATGAATGCTGCAGGAACACAAGTGTCATTACCAAAGATGAAGAGCAACAAACTCCACAAGCACAATCAGGCCTCAAAATGAGGCGAGATGCATTTTGTATTCTGCAAAGGCTGCTTTTGTTTTTAAGCCACTCTGGAGGACAGGATGTTATTATCATGTTCAGTCTGCAAGCTAATGATTTTGTAGTATAATTCTGCAAAATGCTGTCTGCTGTGCAGCACCATCAATATGCTATCATCTTATTCTCCTCCAGGGCTGTGTGATACCTCTACTCTTGTCCTACTGAGGACACCTTGTTTATTCTCCATATGGGGTCTTACAAAAATGAAGACCCATTCTCCCAAAGACATGATGCACCTGAAAAAGTGTAGACACCAACTCATGAACCTGTGAGGGTTAAAGACCAAGAGCTTCAAAGCCAATTTACATGATGACTTTCAAATGCCAAATAGTGCCTGGCTACCAATGTTCCTATTGGTTGGTCTTTAATGTCTGGACACACATCATGTTAAGTGACTCTAACCCTTAAATAAAGTTTAGTATTAGAAGTGGGACTCTGTGCTCAGATCAGATCCCAATAAGATAAACAAATTCCAAAGCAGCACCTAAATTTTATAGTGAAGTTGTAATCTGGTTATGTCAAGCATCTCTTCCATTAAGTGAGCCTGTGCTTTGGTATTAGCAATAGTAATGCTTACCATGGTAGATGGGATATGTACCAGTATGATTCTACAGTAAGCGGGAAAAATATGGTCCACACCCATGCCTATAAATTGAAATACGTTAGTCAATTCTATTAAAAACAGTCAATGTACACACTGATTCATTTGCTTAACAACATGTGGGTCATTGATGAGAAGAAATCTATTGACAACATCAGATTAGGAAACTAAGAAAATACAGTTGAATTCAAAATCTTGTTCATATGTCCTGAAGCAGAGCCAAGGGATCCCCTCCAGAACTGAGCTGCAGGTTGGCACTGAAGAGATCAGTAACAGAGCTACTAGGGAGAGAAAAAAGCCAAAGGATAAGAACTGGGCTGAGAGGCATAACGGAAAAAATGATTGAGAAGGACCTGAGAAAAAGGCACTGAAGCTGAAGTTAAATGCATATATACACACATTTACGCATGTTATACTTTGAATAATCTCTTCCTTTCTCCTTTGCCATCTTCCTTGACTCCTACAATCAAACATTTTCTGGGCCCGCAGACTCTGGATCTACGTAGGAGTTTCGAACTGTTTGTGGTCACTGGAGAAGCACTGGAAGCCGAAACACGTATCACTCACATTCATATCCTCAAAGGTTAATGTAAAATGGTTTGCATAAAACAAGATGCTCTTGCCAAATTCTTCAGGGATGCTTTGCTTGTATATTACATTTCTGCTCTTCACAGCAACTACGCACACCTGCTCTACCAAACTGGGATTTCAGAGAGAGCTATTTCTGTCACCTTTGGTAGTTTCAGAGAAAGGAGCGTATGAGAGAAGAAGTAGGAACTATTCAGACAGACCACAGAGGGAAGGCACGAACCCTGGAAAGATTCCCAAGAACAAGCTGCTGCGCGAGATGGGTACAGAGGCATGAACAAACACGTTCAGCAGGAGCTGTGTAGAGTGGAAGAGTGGAGAACAGACCTGGAAGGGGACGGGGAGACAGGAACTGGCTCCCACTGAGGCCTGGGCAGGGAAGGCCGACGGACCACACCCACAGGCCCTGGGTGAGCGCTAGCAGGCAGGAGCAGAACTGAGTTCAAACTGACAGTGGTCAGAAGTTGGGACAGAGGTCAGGGGCAGAGAGGAAAGGAGCAGGGAAGCAGAGGTAGGCTTTACTAACTGCGCCAGGCTGGGTCATGGGCTTGACTAGAGGGCCAGCCAGAGCGCAAGGGAAAGGATTCATCTGAGGGGCAGTGTGAGCATGCTGAGAGCTAGTTTTGTCCTCACTGAAAACCTAGAAAATGGCCCCTTGCAGTCATTGTTAAGCACTACTCGTGAGAAGCACAGGAGTCTCCTGTTGATTGGGAGGCAAGCTGCCATTATTATGATCAAACACGTAAGAGGGCATGAAAATTCTAATGGCTGATGCAGTCATTTTCAGAGGAAGCTTTCATTAAGTTTAACAGAGGCCTGGAAAAACATAGCAGTTTTTGATTTAAGTAAAAATTATTTTTAAGATGAACACGATTGGTTGCAAGGTGGTGAATATTTTTAAAATTCTAAAGTAATTACCTGCTGATTTTAGCTATGCTGCAATAATGATTTATATGATTGACAAATCTATTATCTCTGCTTTGCAAATCCATTTGTTATACCTCTTTTTGCCAATCTATTACAAGCTTATTACTAATTCAAAGTTCAATGTTTCTATGAGTGCAACATCAGAGACAACACAAGCTGAAGAAACTAGCGTACGTGCCAACTTGGTTTCATTTTCATTTATGGAATACAGTTTGGCTAAATACCTACTAGAGCACAATCCCTGCGCTGGTGCTGGGGTTGGCGGCCAAAGAGAAGTTAAACAGAAAACCAGACATGGGGTGCCCTTGAAGGGACTCACAGAATAATGGACAAGACAGACACTAAGTTTTAAAAAATCATCCACATATATCATTCAAAACTGTGATGAGCACTCTGAAGGAAAATTATAGGATGTTACAAAAGCTTAACATCGGGACACTATAGCAAGTCTGAGTCAGGGAAAGTGTTTTTAGGAAAACTGTCTCTGAGCTGCTATCTGCAAGGGCGTGGAGGAGGAAAGAAGGAAAAGGAGCGGGTGAGAGAGCCAGATGCAGAGATGAGTGGAGGGGAAGAACCGCGCACTGGAAGGCGCAGCGGCGCGCTAACCTGCTGGGTGATTGTGTCCCAAGGACCCTGCAGCAATCGCGTCTTATAGCACTCGTGGACTCCATCCCAGATGTCCTGCAGGGTGAGAGGTCTCCCATCTGTGGAAATGCATTAAAACACAGTCAGTGACCCATGAGACGCGGGGTGCTCAGCACAGATCCAAAAGAACTGGAGGAGGATTCTGACTTTTTCAAAAATCTTTACTAGTTTACACATTACTTGTATAGCACAGGAATGCTGTGTAAACATCTATATTCTTCTTGAGAGAACATTAAACATTTAAGCTTTTCTCCTTTGTATCCACCTAGCAGTTAAATCATCTACTTATTCACTGTCTCTGGGAGCTGTGCAAAATAAATAAAAGCCAAATGTGCTTTACAGAGAACTGACAGATACGAGCATAGGTAAAGGACCGGGTAAATGGACCCTCATACTCGCAAGGGTTCCCTATGGATGTCTTGGAGGCCTTAATGCTTTTTCTATTCCTTAAAAAAAAAAGACACCAGACTCATGCTTCTTTCTCTGTCCTGCTGATCAAGCATCTGTAAGGTCCAATTCGCTCAGCTGGGTATTACGGACTGCACAGAGAAGGAAAACACATAATGTCAGGAGCCTACCATCTACTAGGGGAACCCTGACAGGTACGTGAATCCTCAAAATCGTAGGCAGAGAGAGGTCCCAGCCAGAGAACCAGACGGTCCCCTGCCATCCAGAGGAACGAGACATTAGCACCCAGCATCTGTGCGGGGTGGAGAAGGGACACGACAAAGGGTCGTCAGGAAGAGATTAGTGGAAGCTTCAGTGAGCAGTAATTCTTATTTGCTTGAGCACTTTTAATTAACCATCTAAATTCAGTAACTATCCAAATAATGTATCTTATGAAGGTCACTATGGCACTTATACATAAAGAAAGTAAACAGAAAATATAGGTATCTAAGTTTAAAAAAAGGAAGCAGAGAGTAGCAGTTACCTAAAGACTTTCAAAACACATACTCCTGGAAAGAAGAGATCTAAATGCTTGGATTTAGTGCTATTTGGCTCACTCAGAATTATCAAATCCTCAAGACCTTTGGGTGTGCTCTTTTCCATAGGCAAATGCACACTACTCCATATTAATTAAAGAGAATACACCATATACTAAACCATTAATCCTGAGGTGCATTTGATCATCAAGTGCAACGAAACTTGAGGACATAATCTACTCAAAAATTCCAAACAACTAGAAACCACTGTACTATTCAGAGTTGCAGGATATAAGTAGAAATGTATGTAGGGTGAGAGAGTAAAGCACCGGACTTATAGCCCAGACTAAGTTAAACACTAGGCTTGGCAATTACTCTCTGTGTGCCTGAAAGTTATTCTGCTTTTAACTTTGCCTCTAAAATGAGGATAATCCTTTCAAAATTTGTTCTCATGAGGCTTATATTAGTGAACGCACCCAAGACTCCGTCAGGCAGTAAGTAAGAGTTCAGTAAATATCAGGTATCTCCTCCTAGCCCCCTCCACTATTGCAGTAATTCTCAGTGCTACACCATCCACATCATGCACACTGTCTTTGATACCATAATATACTAATCGCATAAGCAGGACATTTCTCATGTTTGCCCTGGAAATTTGAACTTTTCCTCAACCTTTATTTTCAATAAATAGCAACAGAATATTTTGATACATTTTCAATAAGTATCTTCATCTTGGCATTTATCTGGTGGCAGGAGACCATTATCTTGTGATAAATAGTTTTATTCCATTGACATTTCCATGTCTGTAAAATGAACAAGATTTATTCATCCAATTAACATTTGAATGTCATGTTTTGCTACAAGTTAAAAACAAGCTGCCTTCAGGAGTGGTGTTATATTGTTTTCAGAACACATTTACAGAGTAGGGCCAAACTCTGCTCTTCAAAATATGCATGTGCACAAGTGAGTGTGTGAGAGTGCACATGTGTGTGTTAATTTTGGGAGTGGCTAATCTGATCTTAAATACCTCATGTCAAATAGTAAACTATTAGAAAAAATGACATGCTTTCAAAATAATTTTTAAGGTCAGAATCAGAAGGAATCAGGTAGTGAGAAAATAAAAGTTTGAAGCTGATATGACTACTAATTTTATAAATGTGGCAACTTTTGGGAAATACTAATCTCCATGCAGTCAGCTCAGGATTGAGCTGAAGTTTAAACCCAGGTTTCAGGACTCATAATCCAGTGCTCTTCCTGGTATTCCAGGCTGCTTCCAGGGGGCAGAGACACTGCAAATGCTTTAGGAAACATCTATTGAAAAAATGGGGAATCTAAGAATGCTTTCCTCAACATTACTTCCTCTAAGACAATGAAAGCTTTTCCGACCTAGAGGAGATGCTTGGTGCAATATCTGGAAATTGGTGATGCTTTTGATTTTACTCCGTAGAATGTCTCTGTCGACCATGTGGAGTGTATGGTTAGATGTCACCAGTGGCAAACACCTGCTCTTCTCTCAGGAACATCCCTACAACATAGAGTCATAAGCAGCCTGCCAACGATGTGGAGAGAGCCCCTGAATAACTGTGCAGAATTTTCATCAGGTAGGATACTAGAATTGAGATTATATACCATAAGTTTTCAGACACATCAAGTCTAGGGAAATGAACTCCTCTTGTCAACGTAGAGCAACAGCAATGGAGTTAAAAGTAGGTTAAAAGCATAAGAACCAAATGTAGTTTTACTTGTGTGGCAAAAATACTTGAAATTTACAGCTTTGCCTGTTTCTTTTAAACTAGCTTTTCTAGTTTTTAAACAGGGCAGTATGCATTAGTAGCACTAGGTTCTTTCTATATCATTTAATGAAAACAGAGAGATTAGCATAAACATATTTCTCTATGTCCCTTTGGTTTTTGAACTAGATTCCAAAAATTACAGTATGGAGTTTTGGGGTGGATCTCAGTGAGAGAGCATATGCTTAGCATGCATAAGGTCCTGGGTTCGATCTGCAGCACCTAAAAAAATTATAGTTAGGAAAACTTTTTTTTTGAGACAGGATTTTGCTATGTAGTTCACACTGGCCTCGAACTCACTATGTAGCCCAGGCTGGCCTTGAACGCATGGTCATTCTCCTGCCTCAGCCGCCTAAGTGCTGAGATTACGGGCATGTGCCACCGCACCTGGCTACATTTTTTATTAATTAAAAAAAAACCTCATTAAAACATCACTGTGCTTTCGCTCTCTTCCCTACATAGTGCCACAAAATCAGAACCATTCTACATGCTCACTCTTTCTAGCTTTATGTTTCATCATGAAAAACATGGTCTGTTATTATATTCTAAATTTCTCTGGAATCTGTGGTTTCTGTTCTGTCCCTGCTATCCAGGGGTTCAAGTCCAAGCCCCTGAAAAGAGCCTTCCTCAAACCTCCAGGCTCCAGTGCTTGGTCCCTGCCCCTGCTGGTCTCAAACCCAACTGGATGTAACTTCTCTGCTGAGCACCGTTTTCAAGCACGAGGGCCGACATGGAGGTGATCTGGCCCTACCGACTGAGCTGTCTCCACCACGCTTCCTTGTGATCAGCCCTTTGTCAAGGTAGTAAATCTACCCCCCGCCGCCACACACACGCTCACTCAAACCAGTCGCTCCTTTGTGCTGTTTGGCTTTTTTCATAGCAAGTATGTCTCTAGGAAATTACTGTACTTTCTTCTACATTCATCATTTCCTGCCTTGCCTAACTAGTAGGGAAGTTCCGTGGAAATAGACCTTGTTACCCACTATGTGGACCAGAGTCTGGCATATCATAAGTGGAATAAAGTCAATAAAGATGGGAAGATGGAAATATACTTTTCTCTATACAGTACTTTGAGGTAAATATTTCCTACATTGGCAAAAAGTCATCATTATGATTTGCTGGTTGTGTGCTATGGTACTAAGATGGTTCACAGTCATATACTTAAGTATTCCTCTGCTGTTGGTCATTTGAGTCATTATCAATTTTGAAACAGTACCTGGCCCGACGTAGTCACAAAGTAAGCCATAGCCATTTCTCTTCTTTTCAATTATTTTCTCTTGATAAATTCCCTAGAATGGAATTACTAAGTCAAAGTGAAAAATAACTGTTTTAATTCAAAATAGAAAAACTAGTATCTCACCACATCAAGATTCTCCCTGGGGTAATGAGACAAGAAGTTAATTTTAGAAAGAGGTATCTGTCTAATTTGGCACTATGTATGCCAAGCATTGTTCTAAGCCTTTGTGGTACATTAGCCAAACAATGGTTTTGTGGAGGTTATGTTCTGGCTGGGTTAGGGCAAGGATGGGACAGTAAATAGAGAATGCAATAAATGAGTAAATTGCATGGTACATCAAGAGGCAATATGTACTATGGTAAAAAGAAAAAAGACAGTGGACTAAGGAGTGCCAGCCCTGGGTGGGTTTTTCAAATTTTGACATTACTGAAAAAGGGACTTGTGAGCAAACACTGGGAGGTGTTAGCTGTTCAGATCCTGACAGAGCAAGGGATGCATGTTACAGGGAGAAGGACAGCGAACCACGGAAAGGCTACAGTAGAGCAGGCTAGGGGAAACCCCTAGCCACTTGCAAGGAACATTAAGTGACTGATTTAAACACACACAGCTGTAATGAGACATAACTCACACACATACAAACTCATTTAAAATGCCTCATCTCAGCAAAGATGGCCATGACATACTGGGAAAGGGAAGAATTCAACAGAAAGAGATAAAAATTTTAAATATATATGCACTGAATGTTCATCTGCCCAACTTCATAAAACAAAAACTACTGGACATAAAAAGACAGACACACTAATATACTACAGGCACAAATATAGTATCGACACTAATATAACCACAGCAGGAGATTTCAATATTTCGTCTCACAAATAGGTCAACTAGACAAAAAATTAACAACAACAAAACAGAGTTAAACCACACCATTGAACTAACAGTTTTAACAACATAATGTTTCATCCAACAGAATACATATTTTTCTCAGCAGCACACTGAACTTTTTCCAAAATAGATCATATCCTAGGTCATAAAGCATGTGTAAATAAATACAAAAGAACTTAAATAATTCCCTGCATACTGTTGGATCATCATGAAACGAAACTAGAAAT